TTTTTAGCTTATAAGCAGTCTAAAATTTTTGTCTTATAATATAGATACAAATATTGCAAAAATATAATCCTTATTTTCAAATATTACTATATTAAATTTTATTTAAATATTTTAAATAATTAAAAAAATAGATCAGAGATATATTTATAGTAATTATACAGACAAATTTGCCTGCAAATCTCTACCAATTAAGGGATAACAAGTAGAAACAAGATAAAGGCATTATGACTAAAGAGAAAAAAAGAAAAGAAAAGCAAAGCAAGAATATAAACAAAAAGAAAAAAAACTAAAAAAAAAATATATATATACAGTAAGAACAAGAAGTATTAAAAAGAAGTTGGGGAAGAAATCAGAAAACTAATCTGGTTTAGTAACAAAGTAAAGTGTATATAAATTACAAAGTAGTAAGGTTAGCAACTACCTTTCTATAATTAGACAGTATTTTTAGAGAGTTGAAAGCCAAAAGTGAGAAGAAGAGTTGCTATAACAAATCATATCTGGGCACTTTAAAGTAGCCAAGCAGGCTTTTATTAAAAAAAAGGAAGAGATATAGGCTTTAGCTTAATACCTTTGTATATTTAATACATACAGTATTTCTTATATAATAAAGGCAGAATTGCCAAAAAACAAATTTGTCTAAAATTATTTATAGTTTAAGATAATACTATAATAAATTTAAGATATTTATAATAATACTATAAATTTAAAAAAATATTTAAATCAAATTACAAGTTTTAAGATAATATTTTATTTAAAATAATCAAATGCTGTATATTTTTAAAATATAATATAAACATTTAAAAATTTTATATTTACAAATAATAATAATAATTAATTCAAAAAAAATTTTTTTACTATCTATTAAAATACAACTCTAGTACCAATATTTTACACAAAACAATTAAACACATATTTGAAACAAACAGTTTAAAAAACAATAGAAGAAATAATACATTCGGTGCATTCAGTGCTTTAAAGAGAGAGATTTTTTTAAAAAACATTTTTTTAAAGTGATTCATATATATATATATAATAATTTTTATCAATAACTATTGATAACTAGTGCAACTTAAAGCCTCAATGATATGAATTTAATTACATAAACCTAATTGTGAATTTCGTATTCTAATTTCTAGTATTCTATTGGTTTTCATATAAATATCTAATAGTGATAGAAGTTCAACCAATAATCGAGCCTGACTTATGTGTCCCTGTTATTATTACAGTATAATCTTCCTATAGAGTACCCCGGGTACCAAATCAAATTATGGAAATACCCGGGGTACTCACGTCCGACTTTTACGGTATTGCATAAGAATATTATAAGTAACTTGATCAGGAGACAAATTATGTTCGACCATTTGTTCAAATATTTTTCGTGAGGATTGCATCCCGTAAACATGTAAATAACCTCTTAAAAGATTGTTAAAAACATTCACGTTCGGTGAAATCCCCCGTTTTAACATTTCATCATAACATTTCAACGCCTCCTTCAAATTTCGCTGATTTATGTGACCTGTGATGAAAGTATTGAATGTCACGACGTTCGGTTGAAGACCCGATGATAATATACGATCGTATATCTTATAAGCCATCCCTAAGTCATTCATTTTGACGTACATATTAATTAGTATATTATATGCCCTCAGAACATGCCAACCATTAGCAATTATTTGATCAATTATTAATAACACTTGCTCTGTTTTTCCCATTCGCGCGAAAGCTGTCGCTAAAATATGGTAAGTATCTAAACCAGGTTTTATTTTTTGTTTGAGCATTTTGTCATAAGTATCTTCTACAGATTGGAAATCTCCAACACCCAAATAGCCCGACATTATAGTATTAAATGTGATGACATTTGGTGCTATTCCCATACTAAGCATAATATCAAAACATTGTTCTGCTCCTTTGAAATTATGAAAATTTAAAAAACCATTTATCATTGTATTGAATGTGATAACATCTGGCTTCACACCTTGTCTTTTCATTTCTTGCAATACAAAATGTGCCCCAGTAATGTTGAGATTACGTACGTATGACAAAATATGTGTGTTGTATGTTGTCAAACTAGGTGGAATCAAATTCATTTTCATCTCTTGAACCAATTCTAAACATCTTTGAATATTTCCAACGCGTGCGTACATATGAAGCACTAAGTTATATGTCTTACGCGTTGGAATAAGATTTTCCTTAATCATTTCAGTATGTATGAATTCTGCTTTTGAAAAATTTCCAGAGATGATGTATAAATTTACTATTGTTTCATAAGTATATTTGTTCAAGTGTAATCCGTTCTCTTTAATATCACTATATATTCGATTCAACCAGTATAACACGTTCTTAGGCTTCCAATATGGTGCAAATAAACAATGTAAAATAGCATTGAAATCATTCTCGGTTAATAAATGCAATGATCTTTTTTTCGATAATTCCAAATATTTTGATAACCGTGAAGGAGATTGCTTAACTAAAAGTGTTCCTTTATTATCATTCATTTGATTTAGCGTGCCTTTTTGTGGTTCATCCGATTTATTAGAAAAGATTTTCTTCTCTATATGTTCATTGAATTTGAATGGTTTAGCTTCGGTCCAGCATTTTTCATCATTTTTCGGTACTTGATATATCCATCTATGTTTCTTGGAACAATATAATGGAAAACCTTGCCGTTTTAATCTTAATAAAAGAGGCGAAGCCCTGGATCTTGATATAAATTTTAAATTTTTCGTCTTAGTATAGTGAAGATTTCGATACCATTGCTGGTGTCCTTTAAACTTTTTAACGCGTGGTGATAGTGTTGACCGATCTAATTGTCTTAACCAAGAAGATTCAGAATTAAAAAAAGTTTTTGCCGACTCTTTACAAGGACGTGTCTGCTTTTCATTGATATTCCAAAAATATTCGGCTATTGTATTTCCGCACGATTTTGGTGGCTGAAAAGAAGTCAGAGGTGAAAACTTTTCGGTTTCTTTGCCCAACAATCCTTGTTGAATCAAATTATTTAATACAACGCAAATCCGTTTTTCCGATGGATACATCCGATTATTACGTAGAAAAAATTGCTTGTAAAGCCATTTCGTTATCATTCTATACAAACGAAATATAATTTTTCGAAAACAAAACCGGTTTATATAGTGGCTTGTCCACGTGATTTTGCAAGCAGGGAGGAGGCACTGAAAATTAGTGAACTGTTTTCGGTTCCTGGCGGGCTTTTACCCGAACCGAAATGCGCAAGTTGAGTCAATGAGGATTCGGAACCGTACCATATAGATCCGGGTCGGCTAGGCCGGAACGGTTTTATTTCTTAAAAATAAATTTATTAACGTTAAGTAAAAGTTCTTTACATCACAGCGATAGTGATAGCGATAGAAAAATTAAGTTTTTTAGAGATGCCTGATCGACTAATCAAAGTGCAGGATCAGGTGTAACATGAAAATCGAAGAGATTGATTTAACATCTCTTAGTACAGCCAATAAAGATATGTATCACCTAAATTCTTATATATATATGTTGTGCCCCAAATGAAAATCGGCCCAGTTGTCAATTGGGCTAGCCCAGATAACAATTTGAATTTG